CTCTCTCTCTCTCTCTCTCTCTCTCTCTCTGTGCAAAAGAAAAATAAGAAATGGCGAATCCAAAAGCTGAACGCAGAGTGTTGTTACTATGCGGAGACTACATGGAAGACTACGAAGCGATGGTTCCATTTCAAGCATTTCAGGCTTATGGAGTCTCTGTTGATGCCGTCTGTCCTGGCAAGAAATCTGGTGAGATCTGCCCCACCGCCATTCATCAATATTCTCCTGCTCACCAGGTGAACCTCTGCCTTTGCTAATGATTAAATTGATACATTAATTCAAAAGTTTGCTTTAGAAATTGTGCATATTTTGACCATTGTCAATTAGTGTGTGTGGTTGTATGGAGTATTTTAAAATGCCGAAGAATTATCAAAGTTATGGGATTTGTAAACTTGACTTATCAAAGTTGATGGAATTTAGTCTCTTCATTGTTTTCTTTCTTTTGGTAATCTAATATTGAATGTAAGGTAATCAATCTGGATTGAGCCCTTCATCCCTTATTATGAGCTTCCTAGATCTCACAAACAGAAGTTCTATACTTTGTAATTGACCACAATCAGTTAGAAGATAGTTATAACCGAAAAGATGGGATGCTAACTTGAATGGTTTTACTCCTAACAGGTAACAAGAAATTATTCCAAAAGTATGAATTGCTTACAATTCTCACATATGGGGTCATGTGGCCTTTTCTGAAATCTGTTCTCTGTTTCGGGGCTGGGAATCGCTAATCAACATTTAAGAGTACCCTCATTGACAATATTCTAATAATGGGCAAGCTAGGTTTGCTGAATCACGATTTGTGTTTCATTTGTACTGTATGCATTGTTACAAATCTTGAATGCTATATTTATGTTCTAATCTATAAGCTGTATTCATTTGTTTTAATCTGTGTTTTTCTTTTGGTATTTGTATATGCTTGGTTGCAGACTTATTCTGAATCACGTGGTCACAATTTTACGCTCAATGCAACATTTGATGACGTTGAGTTTGACAAATATGATGGACTAATAATACCAGGAGGACGGGCTCCTGAATATCTTGCCATGGATGCATCGGTTGTAGGGTTGGTGAGAAAATTTTCCGATTCTAGAAAGCCAATTGCTGCTATTTGCCATGGGCAGTTGGTCTTAGCAGCTGCTGGAGCTGTTAAAGGTCGAAAGTGTACCGCGTTCCCAACTCTGGGACCTGTACTCGCTGCTGCAGGCGCTTACTGGGTAGAACCTAAGACCATGTCGGGTTGTGCCGTTGATGATAATCTAGTTACTGGGGCTACATTTGAAGGTCATCCTGAGTTCATTGGGCTTTTTGTGAACGCACTGGGGGGTAACATAACTGGTTCAGATAAGAGGATCCTGTTTCTCTGTGGAGTAAGTTATATTTAAAGTGTTTCTCTTTGTCTATCTACATGCATGAATGGGCATAAAAATAAACTTAAAAGAACTGATGTTGACATATACTGTTGAAAGAGAGAGGGAGGAAAGCCTCAGTATGCTTTACCAGATTTGCCACAAATTGTGATGTGGTATTATTATTCATCCCTATGTATGTGTGCAATGTGTTGGCGGTATGCTTCATTGGTTTGCTTATTTGGGTTGTGTTTCACATTGGAATACTTGTTTTTCAGGTCATTTGTGTGAAATGTGAAGGTAAATCCAAACATTCATACTGCCCATTTTCAGGTCATTTGTGTGAATTCTGGATTTGGAACGATACATAGACAAGTAGCTCCCTTACGAATTTTAAAGGACCACTTTACATTTAGTATCATGATTCCAAGGGAAGCAGACTACTCAAGAATTTCAAATCTAAAGTTTTATGTTGAAATTGAATAAAGAACTAAAAATGCTTGCTTATTTCTTTACAGTTCAATTCTGCCCTTCCTTCCCCCAACTAAATCCCTAAAACCCTAAAGATTGCCCATATTACCAATTATTAGCTCTCCGAAGTCCAAACGCAGCCCCAAATCCATAACTTAGTTGCTTTCGGATTTCATGCAACCTATTTTCTTGAACCAGCCCTTTTTCCCCCTTTAAAATCTAATCCTTTGAATCCTACTGAAACTTGTCTCTCTACAATGCCAAAAGTTAAAAATACAATTTGAAAAACCTTAAAGCCCACCATATATGCAGTTGTAGGCTGATTATTTAAGCTGTCCTACATCAAAATATTCTTTTACTTGTTATTCTGGATCAAACTTGTACTTGTTCAACAGTGATAAGATTGTTAATAAATCAAGATTGGCTGCTTGTTTTAATTTAGTGTGATTCAAGTAACCCCTTAAAGGGGTTTGTCGTTTGTTAATGAACTAATTCTTATACAGTTACTGATCATCATTCACTTTCTCTCCCTCAATATTTGTAGGATTTCATGGAAGGTTATGAGATAACTGTGCCTTTTCAATCCCTTCAAGCTCTAGGATGCCATGTTGATGGAGTTTGCCCCAAGAAAAAAGCTGGTGATATCTGCGCGACTGCTGTCCATGATTTTGAAGGTGATCAAACCTACAGTGAGAAGCCAGGCCACAATTTCACTTTAACAGCTGATTTTGATACTATTGATGTCTCAAGTTACGATGCTCTTGTAATCCCTGGAGGTCGAGCTCCAGAATATTTGGCATTGGATGAGAAAGTTATTGAAATAGTGAAGCAAATCGTGGAAGCTGGGAAACCAATTGCATCCATCTGCCATGGGCAGCAGATTTTAGCTGCTGCTGGTGTTCTGCAGGTAAGGTTATCAACATAATCATTTAAGATTAGTTCCCCAATTAGTACTTTTTTTTTTTCGGCCAGACTACACATTTGTTTCCTGAAACTTGATGCAAAGTCCTTATCCTTTAAGTTTATCAATCAAGTCGAATTATAAAGTTTACTAATTCAATTCTGTGCTTTTGTCAACCACAATAATGATTTTGTTACGAATTTTACTGATTTTCTATCTGTTACCACAAAGACTAGGCTAAGATAGGGAATCACTTAGCAAGGTTAGGGTAAGCCAGGCAGTTTCAGTGTCTTATAATGTGTTAGGTGGAGTGTGGTGTATCGTCAGACTTGTTAGTTCTTAGTTGGACAGTAGCTATTTTCTATGTACCTAAAGTGATATCAGAGTGAAGATTTTATTGCAAAGTCCAAAAGCAACCACCTTGAAGTTCTGCTCTGTTTGTTTCTGATTCTTCTGATTGAAGGTGAATTTACTTATTATGAAGTTTTTAGCATGCCCTAATTGTTATCCACTGCCTACATTTATAGGGAAAGAAATGCACTGCATACCCAGCAGTGAAGCTTAATGTGGTTTTGTCGGGAGCAACCTGGCTGGAACCTGATCCAATAGATCGTTGCTTCACTGATGGAAATTTGGTTACTGGAGCAGCGTGGCCGGGCCACCCGGAGTTCATTTCGCAACTGATGGCATTGCTTGATGTTCGAGTATCATTCTAGTGGCTGTTTACCTGGTCAGCCGCTTGCATGTGATATACTTAATTCATGAAAGATTAAGACAAGGATGATATGCTGCCTTTTGTATCAATGAGGGACCAAGTAATAATCTGTTTTTGATCTGTATATGCCATGTTCCATGCAAGTAAGTTCTGTCTTGCATGCGAATCCCTATCCTGATCTGAGATTGCATGCTATTCCTAACATAGGCGACGAATATTGTGACTATTACTTGTGCTTTATATTGAAATTTGATTTATCACTCACCGAAGTGTCCTTTTCGTTTGTTGCTGCATCTAGAGTGTATTTTTCACATGATATTATATTTTCATTTCTGTGAATTAACAATTTATTTAATAAATAAAAAACATAGCAGTGAAGGGAAAAATAGAAGCAAGAAGGCCTATTCATCACATCACTCCTTATCTTCTCAAATGTTTGATCTTCAGAATTGAAGGCCTAACAATGCTATTTGATGTTCCTGTGACCAATTATATGTATATAAAAAGTCCAAAATTGTTCTGTCCAGCATAAGTAATGGTCCAAGTCTCAAGTGGTATATCACATTCTAGGTTTATC